AAAATGATAAACAAAAAACATATTTGTATTCATATTCAAAATCAAATCACAAACATAGAGGAGAAATAAATGAATTTAAGCATCGTTTTATAGTAGGGTGAGAGGTTGTGGGCAGTAGTGGTGGTGGTAGTATACGGGCGATGGTTGTGGTGGGTGGCAATGACTGTGGTGGTGTTGGTGGTGGTGGCGGTGGCAGAGGCGGGAGTGGTGGCGGTGGCCGAGGCGGGGGTGGTGGCGACGGCGATGCGGATGTCGACAGTGTCAACGGTCGCGATGGTTGTGGTGCTAGTGATGGTGGTGGTGGTGGTGCTGCTGGTAGTGGTGGGGGTGGCGTTGGTGGTGGCGGCGGTGGTGGTGGCGACAGCAGTGGAGGTAGTGGTGGTAGATGTAGTGGTGTGGCGGTTTTCAAACACTATTTTTTTTAAAGTACTTATGAAAAATAATTCGTAGTAATACTTTTAAAAATCACTCCAAACACATCCTTAAAGGTCAATTTTTCCTATTAAATTTATGGTGTTAATATTAACCGTTAAATTAACTTTAAACTAAAATTTAAAGTGATTTGAACCGCAAAAAATAAAAATCATTTTGTTTATCTTTTAAAATTTAAATTGTAAGCTACTTTATATTTATACATTTTTCGGTCTATTCGTTGAGCAAGAGGACTGGGTCCTAAAAATTTGGCTGGATTTTCAGCTTCAACTTTGTCGTTGCACCCTGGATCTGTGTATTCAGCTTTCATGATTGTTCCTACCAAAAAGGAAATCAAAAACAAATCTTTAGCATTCTCAGAATTTTCAAGATCATCATTCAACTGCTTCTCGACATCATCTCCCGTTTTGCTTTCGTTCAACATTCCGGTCATTTTCTTCTCGATTTCTTCAACCTCAAGATCCACAATTTTGCAATCGTCATCGAACTCACTCAGCTTCTTCTTGAAGGATTCTTGATCGCTGTTGAATCGTTCAATCGCAGCCATTAGTTTCTTGTTTTCCTCCTCTTTTCAATCCCCTCTTGCTCAGCGAAATCGGCATCATTATTCATACCTTCAACCATGGATGATCTTTGCAATAGCAAAGAAAAGTCAGAAAAATTAAACAAGAACATAAACACGTAGATACGCAAACACACACACACACATATGTATGTACACACAGAGAGAGAAAGATAGATAAGTTGATGTGGTACTTAACGTTGCAAATAGCGTGAAGGCTTCTTTCTTGCTAGAGAGAGAGAGATTGGGCGCTTAAACTATGAAATGCAAGGCTTTTTATATTAAGGTTGTTAAAATTCGACACGACACGATTAATCGACACAAATTAAGTGAATTGGGGTGAGATCTTAACTGGTTTGGGTGATAAATAGGTTGACACGTCAAACACGTTTAATAAACAGGTCGTGTTCGGGTGAGATCTGTCAAGCCGTTTATCACACGTTTACCCGTTTAAATAAAATTAATATAATAATAAATTAATAATTATTTTAAAAAATTAGCAAGAAAAAAAAAAAGAAATAAAGAAATCAATAAAAAAAAAATAAGTAAAGTAGTAGTTTCAAGACAAAAAAAAAGAGATAAATCACTTCAAAGACAAAGGTAAACTAATGTTTTTTGTTTTTGTTCCACGTTGAAAAATGAGAAGAGATGGGGAGGGCTGAATTGCCTATAAAAAGTAATGGCCTCTTGTTTTTTTTTTTAAACCTTAAAGTCTTATTTTTATGAGATTTGACTAAAAATTCTTATTTTTTGAGATAAGTATAATTGACAATAAAAAAAAGTAGAGTATTAAAATTTGTTAATATATTTTTTTAAAATTAAACAAGTCGTGTCGTGATACCTATTTATTAAACGGGTCATGTTGATATTTTTTACCTGTTTATTAAACGTTTCATGTACGAGTTTATATATTTTTCACCCGTCACCCGTTTAATCCAACACGTTTGACACCCCTACTTTATATAGATCGGTGATGTGGGGGTATTTTAGGTATTTCGTTTATGGAGTAATTGAAATTCGACTTTTCAATAAAAATAAAAAAGTCTTGTTAATACTTAATAGTTCGTTTCTTATCTTTACCAGTAAAGTGGTAAAATGGTAAATATTTAACATACATAGGAGATTTAATTCATTTTGAATAAGCCTAAAGTGTTGTTCAAAAAATAAAAAAAATAAAGAATAAGCCAAAAGTTTAATTTATAAAATTAGAATTCTTGAGTTCGAGTATACCTTTAAGGAATTTATGGTGGCAATTTTTCTAATGAGCATGAAGTAGGGCACAACATGTATCAGTATTTAGAAGAATTAGTCAGGTGATCTAAGAGGTTCGGCACCTCCCACTCTCCTAGTTAGAAAGAGAGGGGAAAAGCCAAACATGAGAACTTTTCAAAAAAATCTGAATTTTTTCAGAATATTTTTTTTTAAATTGAGCATAGTTGAAATTCAATGGATAATAGTGGAATACCATTTACCTGAAAAAAAAATGTAGAAAATGTTTCTGTATATTCAAACAAAGAAAAGTTGATAAATGTTACCTTTTTTTCTATTAGTTTGTATAACACTAAAAGTAGATCATCAGATTGATTTCTTATTTTGTAGCGATATTAATTAGACAATGAGAAAGAAAAAAAAAACATATATTAAAAATTAAGTGGTGGTTGTAGACGATGGCGGTGGTGATGGGTGGTGGTGGTTGGCAAAGACAATGATAGATAGTGGTGATGGTGGTGATGGGTGTGGGAGGTGGTGGGCAACGATAGTGGGTGATGGACGGCGGTGGTGGCAATGGTGGGTAATAGTGGTTAGTGAAAATGGGCTGCAATAATGCGTGTTGGTGCTGTGCAGCAATGGTGGTGGTGGTGTGTGTGGGTGGTAGTATCGACAACGGTCATGGTTGGGTAGTAATTGATAGTGGCGGCGGTGGGATGACAGTAATAGTTGTAATAAATATAAAAATGAGAAGTCATTAGTGCTAAAATCATTTTTTAAAAATCATCTCAAACGCTTTCCTGAGTAATGATCTTTAATTCTTGTTCAACCCATGAGTAAGAAAGAAAAAAAAACACAAGTTGGCCATGAGTCTATTCCATACAATTAGAGGTCTTAAATTTGAATATACTTTTATAATTTTTTAGTCCATGTGCAATCAGAATTACATTCATATGGAAAATTCAAACTACTACGCTCGGGTGAAATTATTCCCACCTCTTAAATATTCTTTCACACCCCATGTAACTTCCTAATTTCAAACTACTAGACTCACCCTATCATACGCACCCCAATATTGATTAAGTTCACCCTATTTATACACAAATCATTACTAAAGAAATGAACCACTAATCAAAAATTACTAATATTCATCTATATACAAACATGATATTATACATTCAAAATATTCGTGATAAATATCAAACAAAAAATAAAATATAAGAACAAAAAAATTATTACAATGTACGTTAAAACCCTAAAATATAATACATGTACATGAAATAACCTATATAACTTAAAATCAATATTCTTTACCAAACAAAATTAAAATTAACACTAATATATATTTCACATGAGAAATTTACTGTAGAAAACCCTAAGAGGTTTGAAAACTGGAAATCAATATCCAAATACTTTCTGGTTTTATTCGAATTGACTCGTTTAAGTTGCGCTTCAAACCAAAATGTAATTGCTAATATTTGTATACCATGGAATAATACAACAACATAAGTAAAAAAGAGAGAGACAAAAGTAGTAAAATTAATAATATGACTAGACAAAACAAATGTGTGAGATGGAATAAGAAGAGAAAATCTTGATAGAGGAAGATATAGTTTATGGTTAAAATGTACAACAGGTGAGGAAAAAATAGGATATATTTAATTATTAATCGGTAAATTTAGATTGGGTTGACTTATGGGGTGATTATGGAGCGAGTATAGATGTGGATGATTGTGGATTTAGTATTAAACGAGATGGGAAAGAATATTTAAGGGGCGGAAATTGTCCCACTTAAAATACCTCAAATTTAAAAGTAAAAAAAACAGGAATATTTTTTGAACAAAACTTTAGTTTTTTTGAATTTTTTTTCCCAAGTTCGAGCAATATGATTTTTTATTAATATTGTTAAAAGAAACAACTATACATGTCCTACCATCTAAGTGGTCATTGTTCTATAAGATGGTTGGAGTTTTTTTCACATCCTTTGGATTGACGTGGAATTGTTACGTACCACAACACATTTACGATCATTGTCAATGATGATCCACTTTATTAACAATGGCCTGATAGCAAAACTCACCATAGAGATGCAAGTCCTACGGTGTCCAATTTCATATTCGACATGTGCACGACTGTGATACCAAATGATAAAAATTCATGGGTAAAACTCACCCTTAAAAATCGAGTTGTAAGGGTAGGTTTTTAAAAGTCTGTATCCACATTCAGTCCTAGATTTGGTCGATGTTTGATCATCACAAAGGAGGAGGAGGAGGAGGAGATAAAATAGAGTTACTCTGATCAAATTTGGAGACTAAATTTGATAGTCCAAATGAGTCGGCAGCCTCTCAAACAACCAATAAAGGGGTCCTAAAAAAAATTTAATTCTTATGTTGATCTAAAAACTCATTTAGATAAGCAAATCTGTCCATGATATTTGCTATCAGAAATGCCCATACTCAACAAAACGGCCTTTACAGAAACAATACGGGGAGAGCTAAAAGTCATTATCTATTATGATGAGGGAATAACAGGTGCTTGGTTTGTCTATTTACAATGTAATCCTTCATCAGTTCATCTATATCTACACTTCAGGATATGCATGTAGAAGACTACTAGCTAAAAATATCACTAATCAAAAGAATAGTCCAAAACAATTTTCAAAACAACTAAGAGATCATGTACTTCAGAATTGAGTAATGCATTCTAACCAGTTCAGGCCTGCATAATGCAGAACAGAGAACCTACTGCAGTGCTGCCAAATCTCCAGTAACCCCAGCAATGGTGGAACATATCAGCTTCAAATCACTTCCTCAGTCGTCTTCTTCGAATCCTCTGCTCCGCCCCCAATCTGATTATTCAGTCTTGATTCCATTTTTGCTTTGGTGTTCTGCGTTGTGCTTTCCATATCTGACTTAATTTCGTCTCTCAGTTCCTGATGAGCTGGTCCTTTCAGTAGATCATTGATACTGTCCTCCGCAAGAGCAAGAACCTCCAGTTGATGCAGACACTTTGTTACAACCTCTTCCGTTATGCCATCGACCCGAGTCTGAACCTCACTCAGGTAATTCAGGTCCAAGTTCACAGATTCTCCATCCGATTCAAGTTCTATCGTTAATTTGTACAACTCTTCTTCCAGTACAGCAATTTTTCTTTGAGAATCTTCTTTTTCAGTATCCCCGGTCAGTCCCAAAATTTTCTTCAGCTCCTCCTGTTTTTCTTCAAGTTCTCTCGATAATCTCTTGGAGTTAGACATTTTCTGGTCTATTCCTTGAACAAGAGGACTGAGTTCAGAAATTTTGGCGGGAATTTCAGCTTCAACTCTGTCACTGCACTCTTGATCTTTGAACTCAGCTTTAGTGATTGTTCCTACAAGAAAGAAAATCAACAACCAAAATACCAAAAAAAAATAAAAAATTACAAAATCTTGAAGAGACTGGGAGAGAGAGACCTTGATTTTCTTGAAGAGACTTTTTCTTCAAATCCTCTTTCACATAATCTGCAGCATTCTCAGAATTTTCAAGATCAAGAACACTAACATCGTCGAATGACGATTGAAATAGATTATCATCGCTTTCGTTCAACATTCCGGTCATTGTCTTCTTGGTTTCTTCAGCCTCAAGATCATCCACATTTTTGCGATCGTCATCGAACTCACTTGACGACTCATTGAAGGCTTCTTGATCTCTGTCGAATTGTTCAATCGCAGCCCTTAGTTTCTTGTTTTCCTCCTTGTTCTTTTCACTCCTATCTTGCTCAGCGAAATCGGCATCGTTATTCGTACCGTCCGCCATGGATGATCTTGCAATAGCAAAGAAAAGTCAGAAATTAAGCAAGAACATATACACGTAGATACGCACACACACACATATATATGTATGTACACACAGGGAGAGAAAGAGAGATACGTTGATGTCGTACTTAAAGTTGCAGAGAGCGCGAAGGTTTCGTTCTTGCGATAGAGAGAGATAGAGAGAGAGGTTTGGTGCTTAGACTATGAAATGCATGGCATTAAATAGACCGGTGATTATCGGGGTATTTTAGGTATTTCCTTTATGGACTTACTGAAATTCTACCGCTGGATGAAACATTAATGACCAAAATTATTATCGGCGTTAATAGTTCGTTTTTGTTTGAGTAATACTATATTGACCAAAATTAAAGATAAAAAAAAGTGATCAAATAATTGACAACTGACGCGGAAGGCGGCTGATCAATTACTGTACAATATTAATTCACTTCTTTTCTTGATTTGCATAATGTGGGTAATCAACAAAAAAGAAGAGTAATTGGTTGACCGTCTTTCACGTCAGTTGTCATGTCATTTAGTCACTCTTTTTGGTCATTAATTTTGGTCACTCACTCGGGTAAATATTTGTAATGATATAAAATTCAAATGAAACCCAAACAATTGTAATTCAAATACATATTATTCCTTAGATGAGTGTATCTCATTAACTTTTTCAACGAAAGCCACTCGTCTCTCCGAATCTATGGGCTGAGCTCCTGAGAGATGGCCAGGTGTGTTTTTATTGACATCCTTCCTATTCCGTGCAGTTTGCAAATGAGAAAAATCCGTATCATGAATGAATGTTTTATGTGTGGTAATCATTACGAGTCTGCCCTTCATTTGTCTCTGCGTTGTCCCTTTGCTTCGGTTGTTTGCGAAATTGTTGTGATGCACTTCCCGGCAAACAGGGTCTCAAATGGGCTGTTTGGTTTAACAGGAACAAAATAAGGGTAGAGGAATGTTCCAGATATCCGCTGCAGGTTGTTGAGTTTTGAAAACAGTATCTCTAGTAGTTCCTATCCACTCAAATCAATGATCCAGCCATTCATGTTTAGACTGATCTTATGCAGTTGTATTTTGTGGAAGGCTCCGATAGTTGGTTTATGTAAATTAATTTTAACGGAGCTGTTTTTACCTGTTGTGACTGCTCAGGTGTGGGTGTGGTTGTAAGAAATAGTAGTGGACATTTCCTACCTGGTTACAGTCAAAAAATTGTTGGGCAGTTTAGTGTTAAAAGCATGGAAGCTGGCAGCTTTCACAGCAGTGCAATTGGGGGGTATGACCTTGGATTTGAGAAGATTATAATTGAAGGTGATTTTAATGTGGTAATAGATGCTATTCGGAATAAGCAAGTGGAGATTGGTGGCTTTGTGAAGCAAATTCAAGCTTTTGAGACCAAGTTTGTTTCTTTATTAGCTTCGTGGACTCGCAGGCAAGGCAAGGAAATGAGGTTGCTAATTTGCCTAGCTAAATTTGCGATAAATTGAAATGTTCCTATTCTATAATAGGAAGAGGAGATGCCCTCGTTCTTGTTATCCCTACTCCATCATGATGGATTAATGCATTTGGATTAATGAAATGACTATCATTTTCCTTTCTTGGAGGTAGACAGAGGAAGGAAAGACTTGGGTAGGAATGACTATCAAAAATAAATAAATAAATCTTGCTAAACCCAAAGAAAAAAAAACATAAGTTGGCCACGAGGATTGATTATCCTTGGGAACCACACCACGAGCAGTGTGTTAATGTGATACGCAATCATGACCCTTGTCACATTTTATACTCATACTACGTCTAATTTTATACTCGACATGGTGATAGACTCTACCTAATAATATGAACTCGTGCGTAGAATTCACCCTTGAAAATCAAGTTGAAAGGAAAAATTTTCAAAAAGTTTATATTCACATTCAATCCCATACTTAATTGGAGGTGGAAATACGTGTATAATTAATTTAACTTCCTTAAATGGCCATGGAAAATCAATAAAAACACATCCATATTATTAGAGACATCAATTGATCCTTTAACTGCCTAGGTATAACACTTTTCTTCCTAGAAAAAAATATACTGACTGAGATCCTCTATAGTCCACTTTTTCTCAATTAAATAATGAATCATCCATGGTGTGTGTATGTATGGGTGGGGGCCAACTAGTAAATGGTGGGTACCTAATCAAAGAATGTACCAAAGTTCACAAATGTTAGCCAAGAAAGAATCTGGTTTTGCAACATTGTCTTAATTTGAAGCATCATCTTAGCAGCCCCACAAAGCTATTTGAAACACACAACCATGCAAGAAAAGAACTTCGAACAATAACAAGTATTCATCCACCTAAGTATATATTGTCAGTTCGAATATGGAGCTCAACTTCTGACCATGCTTACTTCTTCTAGATGCTACTATAAGCGATAAGTGTGCAACTTCAATCCAAGTCAATTGTGATATTCTCGTATCAAGAGTTATTGATATCCTAACAAAATCAAGATCACAAGACATATATACATATCTATACTATTTATAAATATTAGCATATGTGAAAAATTTTTGACTTTTAAATTCTTTTGGACTATTTGTATTACTAGTATTTGATTTCTAAATTCTTGTAGACTCATTTATTAGTAGTACATTTATATATAGTTTCTATATCTATATCTATTTACTATATTCTACAATTATATACATTTAGTTGGTAGATTGAATTTTGCCAAATATATGTCACATTTTATTTCTTTTATATGCAACAATATTATAATACAAATAATAGTATATAATTTAATCAATATGAAAGAATGCAGGAAGCTCAAAACAAATCCCAATTGAAAAGCTACCGGTCATCATCTATTATGATAAGGAAATAAGCGATGGTTGGTCTGTCTACTAACAATGTAATCTTTCACTCTATATATCTACACTTCCAAGATAGTCAGATAGAAACTAACAACAAATCTATAATCAAAGAACAACTATCTAAAACAATTGTCAAAGCAATTAAGAGATCAATAGAGTAATGCATCCTATATCAAGCAAAACAGAGCATCTAAAGCTGCAAACTCACTTCAAGGTCTTCTCTGCACATTTCCAGATCCTCAGACATCTTCTCGAATCCTTTGTCCTGCCCTCAAATTTGAGTCTCTGTAGATTCCATTTTCGCCTCCACTTTCTCCGTTTGGCTTTCCAACCATGACTTAACTTTTTCTCTCAGTTCATGATCAGCTGGTTGTTCCATAATAGCCTTGATCCTGTTCTTAACAAGTTCAAATACATCCATTTCCATATCAGAATTCCTCTGTTTCAGCTTCGCAAGTTCCAATTTCAACAGCTGAAATTTTGCATCAACTTCGTCCTCTTCTCGTTTCAACCGGGCACGTTCATCTTGCAGGCGAGGGATCCGAGTCTCAAGCTCACCTATTTGATTGAATATCAGTTCCAAGATCTCAGATTCTTGATCCAAGTCCATTTTCTGATTCTGATCCAACTCCACTTTCTGATTCTGATCTAAGTCCCCTTTCGTCGCATCCTCTTCTTTCTCTTTGAATTCTTCTTTGCTTTTGTCGAATTCCAGTCCATCAATTTCAGCAAAATCAACACACTCTATGCTGTCCTCGGGTCGATTCAACACTTTTTGCTCTACATTTAGCTTGTTCAAACGCCCTTGTTCTTCTTTCTCATCATCTTCTTTGAATTCTCTCATCAATTCGTACAACTCTTCTTCCAGTCCTTCAATATTTGTGTAATAATCAGGTTGAGTAACATTGTTGAATTGATCAGTATCTTTTGACTTCTCATCCAAGTCGTCCAGTTCAGTATCAACGTTCAGTCCCAAAATCTTCCTCCACACTTCTTCTTCTTCTTCATCAGAATCATCGTCGTTACATAATTCTTTGAGTCCTCTAGCTAATCTCTTAAATTGGGGTATCTTCTGATCTAATGTCTCAACAATGGGACTCAGTTTTGAATTTTTGGCGGGAATTTCATCTTCAACTTTGTTATTGCGATCTTGATCTGTGAATTCAGCGGTTGCTATTGTTCCTACAAGAAATAAATTCAACAAACATGAAATAAAATACAAAAGAAAATAAAAAGAAAAACCAATGATCAGAAATACACTCCGGCGTATGTAATAATGTAGAGAGAGAGACCTTGATTTTCTTGAAGAGACTTTTTCTTCAAATTCTCTTTCACATAATCTTCAGCATTCTCAGAATTTTCTAGATCAAGATCGCTACCATCGTCTGATGACAATTCAAATAGAAAATCGAACTTACTTGACGACTCATTCAGGTTCTTCTTGAAGGATTTTTTATCGCTGTCGAATTGTTCAATCGCAGCCGTTATTTTCTGGTTTTCCTCCTTATTCTTTTCAATCATATCTTGCTCAGCGAAATCGGCGTCATTTTTCGTACCGTCCGCCATGGATAATCTTGTAATAGCAAAGAAAAGTCAGAAAAATTAAGCAAGAACATATACACGTATGTACACACAGAGAGAGCAAGAGATATACGTTGATGTGGTACTTGACGTTGCAGAGAGCGTGAAGGCTTCGTTCTTGCTGGGAGAGAGAGAGAAGTTTGGCGCTCAAGACTATGAAATGCAAGGCATTATATAGACCGGTGACTATGGGGGGTATTTTAGGTATTTCGTTTATGAATTACCAAATTCTGCCGCTTCGGTTTTGTTTTTTTATTGGTTAGGACGAATTGCATTTTATATCCTAAAAGATTTAAGAATTTTTATTTTATATCTTCAAATATTATATTTTTTAATATTATACCCACAATGTATTAAAAAAAATTAAATATCTCATTTCTGTTATTTTTTGTTTCTCAACATCAACGAGATATTTTTTGATTGAATAAAAAACAGAAACTAATGAAAGGGTTGTACTACAACACTTTAATACATTGAGAATATAATATAAAGAATTTAATCTTTTAATGCATTTTGAATAAAACTTTTTTTAACTCCCGAATAAAAAACAAGTTGGCCAAAAGTGAAAATTTACAAAATTATAGACTTGAGTTCAAGTACACCCTCAAGGACCTTAAGGAATTTATGGGGGTAATTTTTCTTTTGTACATGATGTTGGGGACAACATGTATCAAGATTCAAAAAGATTAGTCGGGTGATTTAAGAGGTTCGGTACCTTCTAATTAGAAAGAGAGGGGAAAAAATAGAAGAGATAACTTTTAAAAAACATCCGAGTTTTTCCAAAGTATATTTTTTTTTAAATTGAATACGGTTTAAATTCAATTGATATAGAAGAACATCATTTACCTCCCCCCCCCAAAAAAAAAAGTGGAAAATAGTTATGTAGATTCAAACATAGAAAAATTGATAAATGTTACCTTTTTTCTATTAGTTTGTATCACACTAAATATAGATCATGTAATTGATTTCTTATTTTGTAGAGATATCAATTAGGCAATGAGAAAAAAAAAACAACATATAAAGCCTACCATATGCTAATTGATTCAAAACGATGAAGAAAAACCAATGGTATATTGCATTGTTGAAAAAAAGAATCCGTTTATTTTCTGAGTAATGTAATCCTAAGGAAAAAAAAAGGCCGAAGCGAGAGGAGGAGGAGGAGGAAAATGAGGGAATAAGAATATAACTTTGATAATGGGCATTGTGAATTAGCAATACCAAATCCACATATAGTTTGAGACATCAATCGATTCTCTTTAGCTTCCAAGGAATATCACTTTCCCTCCTAGAAAGAACTATTAGCAAAGCCTAACCAAAGAATGTACCATTCAAAAAGAAAACTTCACAAATGTTAGCCAAGAAAGAATATGGTTTTGCAGCATTGCCTTGAATTCTAAGCATCATCTTTACAACCTCACCAAGTGTGACAATTCACATTGGTGTGTGTTGAATCTTACATTCGAATCGTACATATATTTAAAAACGATGATCCCAAATAAAAACTCCTTAGCTAGCCCCTTTGGGTGGATTCGTGTGATTACTACACATGGTATTAGAGTCATTCCATGCACACGATTGTGAGTTCGATAGCACTGCGTCTTGGAATCCATGCCATTATGACGAGAAAATAAAGATGCGAGAAAATAAAGAAAAGAAGATTGTGACGACTCACACTGACGTTATACAGTTAAGGATCATATAACAAAACAGGCCATTACTTTCACATGGTTGCACATATGGTTCGAAAATATAATTGCCCCGGATAAGGTCCCAAAGAACTAGTTATTTACTGCTGAATCATATAAAATAGAGATTTCAAGCTAATCAATCATCCCTGCCAGTCCAAATAAGGTTCAAAAAGATCAAACTCATTTAGTCAAGGATCAGGATCCCCTGCAAGCTCTAAAACTGAGTTTAAATGAATCCTGCATCGATCATTAAGATGAATGTGTAGCATATCTACATGACATCTGAACCAGAATACAAATTTAAGCATAATTATATCGTTTACGCTCACTCATTTCCTGTTTGTACTCCACAGTCTGAGCATCAAAAGGATTTTTTTTTTAAAAAAAAACAGAAAAGTTGATTTAATTAGGTTGCACAAATCTTTTTTCTGGCTACATCACCAACCACTACACAATACACCAAGGTATAGTAACATGGATCTGCACTCTAAAGAATACGAAGTCATAAGGTTAAATGATAATCAAACGCTACTCATGTTAACCCACTATCATCAAATCTCTATAGCAAATCGTCAACACAAAGGGAGGGAGAAATAAATCTCATAGTGAAAAGTTGTAAAACTTCGCATTTTACAGTTTCCTATCCAATATGAAACGTCTTCTTCAAGAAAAAGATACGACACACCAAGAAGAAAGAAAAAGAATACCCACTGCAAAATCAACATGAAAGCAGCCATGGAAACTAAGACCTCTGAGCTGCCTTCCAAGATAATACTTGTACTACAGAAAAACATGAGTTTGTCGCTATGTCGGACCTCTCATTATTTTTCAGGATGAAAACATAGAAAGGGAACTACATAGGCTTCTATGATCCAAATCCTTTTTAGACTTCCACAAGCTTCATTGTCCACACAAGCTCCTTTATGCTCTGCTTCTGCATCAGAGAAAATATGCTACGCACAATTCGCTCTTAATATCTATTGCCTGCAAAGAAACTACAGTATTAACACCTAGTTAAACTGACCAATGAACAAGCAACAGTCTAAGGCATATTCTGTCAGTTTTTGTAAATCAGTGAGATGAGATAATTAAGACGAAACAAGAAAAAGGGAGGGCAACAGAAGAATTTGGAGGCCAGATGAAGTAAAGAAATTAAAAATCATTTACACTGCATTGGGAATTGGCCATAACATTTCATAGAGTGATTCAAATATTTGGAGTTTTAATCCCATGGGATGAAAAAGTTGGGGAGAGCCGAGCCATAAGAATGTGGAGGGGTCTCTGCACAATTCCCTTAACTGACCAAAATTCAGGATTCAGCATCTGCTCAAAACATTCATTTCCAGGGTACCACGCACAGCAAATTATTTGGCATTCTTATCTTTCAATTCAAAAGTTTCCATACTGAACAGGCCTCATAAAACTGAGGCTCCTATATCATCTGAATTTCAGTTCATTATACCCAACCATGAATTAATTCCCTTATGTTATAAATTCTTTAATTTTTGCAAATAAGATGCTCAAATTGACCTCTTCAAGTTTTCAGAAGTTCTCAGTTAACAAAGATACTGAACTTCAATATTGAAATTGACCTGCCTTGATACTTATTTCGTCTTATGGCGACAAAATCTCATAAAGCAACCCCCACATCTTGACCAATATCATTCTAAATTTGGTCAATAGTAGCCACCAAAAATCTAATTAAGATTAGCGAGACACGAAGATAAACAAAACAAATGCAGTACTATTCTGCATATTGTAAAAAATTCCAACCTGAAATCAACTATTGGATCCCGTCAACAACTCAAACAGCCCACAGCAGCTATTCCAGGAAGTTGTTTGCACAGGTCTTGGAGCTGAATCCCCCTGAGGCTGCATATAATTTCAAAATGAATAAACAAACTACTATATGTGATGGGGATCGTGTAGGAATTAGATAGATATTATAAATTAATTATGATAGTTTTTTAGATACTTTTAATATTTAGTTTTTAAGTAATTTCTTTTAACTTTTAAAAGATTAGTTGTCATTTTGATTATTTATTTATTTTAGGGTTTGTGATCTCCTTATATATATAGGATTTGTGAATTCCTTATATATATAGGGGATACGTATTTGTTGAGAGACTTTGATTATTGATTATTGATATTGAATCTTCTTTTTAAAATTCTCTTCCTATTTTCATCCCCTTCTTTTTCTTTTCTCATCCCTTTTTCTGTCTTTCTGATCCCTAATTCTTCCCTAATATAATCTACATCAATTTGGTATCAGAACCTAACTTCGATTTGAAAAAAAAAAAAAAAAAACGAAGTTACTGTTCATGCGTGCACTGTTCACCCAAGAATCCAAAAACACTATTCATCAGTGAAAAAAAATTGTCCCAACAGATTTAGTAAATTACAAAAAAATTCTAGTTGTTTCAAAAATTACAGAAACACCCCAGAAAATTACAAAAGTTGTAGAACTACCCCCAGAAGTTTCAAAAATTACAGAATCTTCCCCCAGAAGTTTCAAAAATTGTAAAATCACCCCCTAAAGTTTCAAAATTTTTTCTTGATTATAGTATGCATACTCCCATGAAATTTGAGACTAATATTTTTATTCATTGAAAAATTAGAGAATGTGAAAAAGATCCAAAACATATTTTCTTCTATTTAAGTTTTCTCACTTCTCGTAATTATTAATTGCATCCTTGAACTCATTCTTACCTTATTATCATCTTTCAAAGTCAATCATGAGTTCATATGATCATTATGATGCCTATTCATATACTTATCCAACATCAAGAATGTCTCAAGTTCATAGTTCTCCACAACGTCATCACTATACCTATTCCATTCCTAAAGCTTCTCGGAGTCATCATAAAGATCATAATAAGTTTGAGTTTTATTATGAAAATTATCTAAAATACTACTCTGGGACACTTAGATCACATAACAGGTACCAACGTCATGCTTTCCAAAGTCATTATCAAGGTCAATCTGGATCAATCTTTACTGTTATTAGTGATCATTCAAAAGCCCAAACTGCCCTAGGAAAAAAGGTTGAGATCTTTGAAATTGAAGTTGTCAATACTAAACATTCACTCAGCCAATTACGTGAAGAATGTAGAGGGGTGAAAAACCAATTATCTGAATTAACAAGTTAACTTTCCCACTTGAATAAAATTCTTGCAAGTCAACAAATGGAAGAAAATAAGGACAACTCTCCAGTTTCACCTAATGTCAGACACCCGCATAATGATAGCCATATTTTTGTTCCATTGAACCCTCATGCTTTACATCCTTCAAAACATACTTTCAATTGTTTGAGCATTGATACTAGTAATGAGATTATTTTTGATCATATCATGTTTCCTACCTCATCGGTGCCAAAAGTTGAATCATCACTAAACATTGAACTTGAGAAAAAATTCATTCAATTAGTTCCTATACAAGATGTTGAGCATATTGAGCTATCTATTTTACAATCTGTTGGCAATTATTTTATGTCTACTATTCTGAATCATGATGGCATTGTTGTGGATTCTTCTTCATTTAAGATTGTTGATTTTGTTTCGAATTCTTGTCCACCAGAGATTATTGACATTGTTCTAGATTCTGCCCCACTTGAGATTGTTAACTTTGACTCTCTGCCTACTGTGAAGTGTTCAATTGAATCTATACTTTTTTATTTTTAGCATCAGGGTGTTATAATTACTCCTTTGTCATTGATGTCTTGTCCCGTTGAATGTCAGTTGTTCAAATCTAATGGAAATTGTTTTGTTATTCTTGAGTTTGGATCTAATGCTTATTTGCTTAATTTTTCATTGAATGTTAGTATTAATCTAGATTTTTATTGGGAGGACATGCTGCTTAATCGAGGTACTCCAGAGCCTCCTATTTTATTCGCAGGTGTTCATACAGATAGAGATTCTTGCATTTATCCTAGTCGATGGAAAGAAGTCGATGGTTCTTTCATTCTAAATGAGGCATTATGTCATCTTCATCCTGCTCTCTTGGGGTACTTCTACTTTGAAGACTCTCCAGAGGAGAGTTTTTTTCAACCGGAGGAGAATGATGGGGATCGTATAGGAATTGGATAGATATTATAGATTAATTATGATAGTTATTTAGATACTTTTAATATTTAACTTTTAAGTAATTTCTTTTAACTTTTAAAGGTTTAGTTGTTATTTTGATTATTTATTTATTTTAGGGTTTGTGATCTCCTTATATATATAGGATTTGTGAATTCTTTATATATATAGGGGATACGTATTTGTTGAGAGACTTTGATTATTGATTATTGATATTGAATCTTCTTTCTAAAATTCTCTCTCTATTTTCATCTCCTTCTTTCCTTCTCATCCCTAATTCTTTCCTCATACGATCTACATCAATATGATAATGCATTATGTTGCTCATTGCAGATTAGAGCAAAAATATGACAAGGTCAATCCCCCAAGAAAAGAACAGAATAGGGCAATACCTGTATATCCGAGCATTCAGGAACCTTGGGATCTTTAAGATGTTCTGCACCATTACTGGTATCAGCTCCTGGAGCATTGTACGAAACCAACATTTTATTATCATTCTCTTGTGCTGCAAGGCCCCTGGCATCCAAAGACGCTACAGAAATCCCATCTGATGTTGAAACGACTTCATTCTCCTTTCCCTGTGATTCCAAATCTATAGCAACTATTGAAACCCCAACATTCTCCTCCAATTGGGGTAACTTTTTCTCCCCATTTTCCTCTAACCCTGGCTCATCCACATCAGAAGTAACAGAAGCACTCTCATTTATGTGAGCCACCTCTTCTAACAATGAAACCCTTTCTGTAGCTACAACAGGAGCATTGTCCACAACTGAATTACATGTGTTTCCAACTGGAACGCTATGAGTTACCACTTTGGACACGGCATCAACAAAAGGGGCTGTTTCCACCACTACTGCCTTCTCAACATGCGATTCATCATCCGAACTGCTACTACTAGAGCTACTAGACGTGTGTTTTTCATGTGCAGCCTCAGCATACTCAATCCTTATATCCTTGCTCTCAGATTCATGTGCAGACTTTGCTTCCCTATCAATCTGAACAACACCTTCCACTTTGATTTCTCTCTTCTCCACCTCTTCCTCTTCTCCCTCAGTAAATGGATGCTGGTGGTTATGGTGGTCTTGTGATGCAGGAGAGCTAACCTCCCCACCATCACTCTCCTTCTCATCATGGTGTTTCAAATCATCATCTCCTACCATAGTTTGAAACATTCACAAGAATTCAACACCATATGGAGAGATACAAAACAGATTAACACACGCCCATCAAGTATTTTGAGCCAAAAATAAATAGTACCAATCAGGAAAAGGAAGAATATGATTCATAAAAGTATGTGTGCTTAAGTACTGGCGTTAAGCTTTTGAAATTAAGTAATAATTCAAGTAATTCTAAATAAAATTAAGTAACAAAACACACCAATACATCCCATTACACCACTTTCACCCACCCACACTGATACATAGTTACACAGATGAATGCATTACGTCTTAAATTCATAGATAGATTTCGTACAATTGGGAGACAGCTGGGTATGTAAATTTGATATTGAATGAAGCCAAACCAGTAAAACTCATAGTGAATCAAGTCAAACCACTAAAATTGATAGTGAATCAAGCCAAACAAGTAAAATTGAGAGTGAATCAAGCCAAACAAGAGATATTAACAGCTACCCACCAAGACAATTTGAGAGACAGATCAACAATAAAGACCACAGAGATCAGAGAATCATGGAGTGACAGATGAACACATGTGGATTGGTTGGAAATATTAGAAGCACAGAGACAGAGAGTGAGAGTACCATGAGTTACGGAGCTGGTGTTGTTGGCCTTTTTCTCCTTCTTTTTCTTGGCGGCTTTTCTCTTCTTTGCACCTGATGGCATGACTATTGGTTATTGTCGAACGGGAAAGGGGGTAGATTGGGTCGTGGGTTGCCTTCTGCTTGTCTCCCTGTAAATCGAAACTGTCTCTGCCTCGCTCTCTCTCTCTCTCCGTGGATTTCAAAATGGGGTCTATTTGATTCCAGGGAATCCAAATGTTTTGTCATTTTGTGGGAAAATCTCTAGCCTTACGCCCTTTGGTCCATATAAAATTCTTTTTTTTTTTTTAATAAGAATGGTACCAACAAAATTCAAACATACAAATTCAAACTCTAAAATTGGGGCAGTACCCAATAGGGCAACCGCTAATCTCGTACAAAATTCTTGTTATGCATAGCACTATATGGCGAAATTTGGTGTTCAAACTTCAAACAATTCTTAATCAAGAATAGGATGTTTTGGTTTAGTGGTGAAAGTATTATTTTAGATTTTGATTATAGCCCTACTTTTCTTAAGGGGCATTTGGCTCGTAAATGCGTGGAATTTTGATTCGTCAAACGTGAATAATTATTTTTGATTAATAATTTGAATTCAACTATATTATGTCACACTCCATAGATCTAGATCTGGGTATACTAACACCTGTTTTAATTTTTATGTGATTCGATTTTATGTATAAAAAAAATAATTATTATTTAATAAAATTGAATAGAGAAATTTTATATGTTATTTTGGTAAAATTTTGCTTTATTGAGTTGTTCAGCTTCGATTTTTGACTTGAATACATAGGATGAAAATAAGATTTGTAGCATATTCGGTTTGAAGTTTTATAATCGGGATTCAGATCAGTCGAATTATAATCAATTAATAGGCCTTGATGGAATGACTAATCTTCACAAAAAAAAGAATGAATGTAGGCGTTGGAGTTGAATTTTTTTTTTTTTTGCCAATTTTAGGAAAATAATTTTTTAAAATTAGGAAGAATCTTACTTAATCTTCTTGGCCAAATGCAATCCTCTCTTACCACATGCATGATGTAATTAAGGCGATAAATTCTTGGATGATCTAATTGAAATGGCTAATTCAAAAAGGGGTTAATTAAAAATAATAATATTATTTTAATTTAATTTAATATATTGACATAATTTAAATAAGTATTGAATTATTTAATGATAATATAACATATATTTTTTATTTTATTATTGTTTATCAATTGCTATAAATTATCCAAACTCCTTTGGATAAAACTCAACGTCAATTGAATTATTTGGATCAAACTCACTATTACGCCGCAGTCGGATATGAATGGTCTTGACTTTCCCATTCCCAACCGACACTTTTGTCATTAAAGGTTAATTAATTCTTGTATTAGACTTTGATTTATACAACTAACACTTCATCTGGATTCAAAAAGATGCATTTAATGTGGCCCCACATAGGTCAAACAAAGTTGCTCCCATGTAAGTCGGCAAACTAGGATTGGAACAAGTATTAAAATGACTTCAATTTTTTTTTCTTTTTTCCTGAATTGGGAGTATTAATGTATCATTTGATTTTGTTCTTTAATTTTTTAAATTGTTTAGGTTTTCGGTAATTTTTAAGTAGTATTGGTTTTATATTGCTAGAAAAAATTTATATAATTTAATGGGAAAATTCAGAAAATTAAAAGTTCATGGGGTATTTGTGAAATTTACCCAAAAAGTGACAATAGGAATCAAAATTGCTTAGCAATAAAATCAGCATTTTTAATTTGATTCTTTATATTTGGAGTGCCTGCCGTACTCTATTATATTTTTAATAAATAAAAAAATTAACATATATGTGCGTGCAAGATCCTGCACAATATAAAAAATATTGGGAACAGATCTCTCCCCTGGTGAACTTTGAGTGAACCGGTTGAGTGGCAAAACACACTGCTTGAAACAGCCTACAAGGCACGGTGATAACCTGGAACGGCAAAGGAAGATCCTGGGAAAGGAAGAACGATCCTGTACGTGTGAAAGGTTTTCCTGAAATAAACAGGAACAAGTTAGAAGGGTGCCGGAGTGTGTTCCGGCGTATCCCCTCCGACGGTCTAGTCAGTCTTTGAATGAGAGAGAGGAAGAAGAAGACACTGAGAAAATCTGTATTGTAGTAGAGAGTTTGTGATTGCATACCCGCTTTGCCTTTTGGGAGGAGTATTTATACCTTAAAAGCTCATGATTGCTGTCAGTGTGGTCAGTAGGTGATCATCAGGCACAGGTAGCGTGTGTATTGATTTGATGAGGAATGTCTTCTCTAATTGACTGTTCGGGGTCCCGAGCAATCAATGCTGAGTCGTCGGGACGCCGACGGTACAATATGCTCCTTTCGGGAAGGATGCAATAAATGCTCTGTAATAGGAGCATTTATTGCCTTTCATATCCGAACCTTACCGCATTGAATGCGGTCTCGTCAACAGAAGGGTGCAATTAATTGTTTGCTTTCCCAAGCCATGTGTCAGTAACGGCGTGCAGTTTGTCTGTCTTTGATGTGACGTCATTTGCCACGCGTCCATCCCTTACTGGCTGTGATTACTGTATTCCGGTATGTTCTGACATTACTTGTGTCAGACGAGGTCATGATGAATAGTCTAGACTGGCGTAGGCTGATGACCCGTACATCAGTAGCTTTATCCTGGAGTATGGGAAGCGTCCAGGACGGAGTGACTCTCGGCACCGAGGAAAGGCTCACCTCGGGGACCGAGGGTGGTATGTTTTCGAGGTACACGGGTGACCGAGGACACGTGTTGTTGTACAATACACCGAATGCATGATCCTATATGAGAGGTACCTCGGGGGGCGAGGACACTCGTTGCCGATGGTGCTTAATCCGAGCAACACTGTTCCAGAAAACCCGAGGACACGTGTCTTCATCATAGGGCTTTTCAGAAGAGTCACATCAACTGCCCCCCAGCCTTCGATCTTCTGACACCGAGGACACGCGTTGTAAGGAGACGAAGGGTTTCCCAACTGCCATCCGTCCTTCATTATGGCCTCGAGCCGCTTTCCCCGGCTTGGGATGTCGTGCGCATTAAATGCGCTGTTTTGGTTCTCCCGCCCAATGATGAAAATTTCCCCCTATATAAAGGGGGTTCTTCTCCGGTTTCCATCGTTTTGCCATTTCGATCTTTCATCCAGAGTACGCCTTTCTTGATCTTTCGCCGGAGTTCTTTTCTTCTGCCATCGTCGACTGCTCTTTCTCTCAAAATCACAGAGCCAGCAAACCCATTGTTGATTCCCGGACTTTCTAGTGGGAGTCGTTTTAAAGTTTTTCCTGAAAAACTCCATTTTTGACGTTCGGGTGAGTTTTCACAACCTTCTTCTTTATCGTCTTCCTAGCCTTTTTGTTTTCCGATTTGAACGGTGGTGTCATCCGGTCGGCACGTCTTGATTTAAACCCTCGGGGAACTTCCTCGGGTTTTCTAGAGTAAATACCTTTCTCTTCCTTTTCTTTTTTAGAGATGTCTCGTCGTCGCCCTGCTCCCGAGAATCCACCGGCTGGTCCCTCGGGGTCAGGGAAATACAAGGTGAAAGGCGAGGAGCAGATCGATAGGTTTAGGGCCAAGTACGGCATTCCTTTGTGTGTAGACGTAGTGGATTTTAACCCATTGTTGAACTCACCTACCTTCGGGGCCGAGGATGCCATGCCTTTCTATACCAAGGCCATCATAGAGGGTGGTATTAGGTTTCCTTTACCCCCTCTGCTTCTTCAGTTCCTCTCCCGCTTTCGCCTTTTCCCCGGGCAATGCTGCCTTAATGTCTTTCGAATAATCATGGGGGTCTTAGAGCTCAATAGGCGCCTCGGGGTGAATATCGGGCTCAATGATCTCCTTTTCTGTTACTCCCTTCTTAGAGTCATGCCTCACCAACACTTCTACCTCAAAGCCAGGGACCCCTCCATGTACCTTGTAACCCATCTTCCTGACTCGGACAAGGGGTACAAGGACGACATCTTAATCTTCAAGGGATGTTGGCAGAGGGGTGTTGGTCCCGAGTACAATGACTTATTTTGCCCTCTGGAATGGAGAACGACAAGTACGTCGGTTCCTTCGGGTTCTTTATTTGTTTCTCGGGACTTCTCATGTTTATGACAATCTTTTTTGTTGTGCAGATATTCCTTCTCGGGAAACAGCTCCACCCCCTCGGTCGCTGGTGAACTTTGCCGACCTAATCACGGTTTGGAGTTTCACGGGTGACAACGGGTTCGACCGAGCTGCTCATAATCTGCTGTACTATACCCCCGGGTATAAGAAGTTTTCAGAGCTTCCTCAACCTTTCGAGCCTTCGCAGTGGTCAGAACTCTTCGATCAGGCGGCGAGGCTAGAGGCTGAGGAAAATTTGGAGGAAGACCCGGATCGGGCTTCAGAGGCAGAGGTCGAGGGATTTGCTGAAGAGGTCGGGGTCAGAGAGGACGATGCTCCTTCGGACGCCGAGGTGGGGACTCCGGGAGGTGACTTGTGGCCCGACTTTCAAATTCTTCAATCTTTGGACGCCGAAGACGCTCTCGAGGAAGCGATGTCTAACGCCCCTCGCATTAATTTGGGGTTCCTTAGGCAGAGGCAAGCCCTCGTAGCCGGGAGAGGTCGAGGGACGACCGGCGGTACTCCGGCAGGAACCAGTTCCGCCACTTCTTCGAGGGCTCTCGGTCGGGGTCAGGTGCGAGACCGGGATCCTCAGGTGGAAGAGGAGAGAAGGGTCAAGCATCGGCATGACGTCCTTGGCCGGGGACCCAGAGCACCTCCCGCTCAACAGCAAAGCGGGAGGGATCGTGGATTACCCCCTGCTCCCCCACAACAGCAGCAGCAACAACAACAGCCCCGACAACAGCAGCAACAACAGCAGCAGCAGCAACAGCAACAACAACAGCAGCAGACTACTCCTTCCCTCCCGCCTACAGTAGAGGCCGCGGAGTGGAATCCCCGAGCCACTGATCACATGAACCGAGTGATCAGGGTCGACGACTCCATTCTGCAGGATCCTCATGTCGCCCATGCAGTGAGTGAGACATTGCATTTTGAGGCTGACATGGAGGCTCATCGGGGGCGATCAACCAACGTGT